TTGAAAATCATAGATCAAACTATTTGATAAATGTTTTAATATTTTCTTGTATTGTGAATTTGATATTTTATAATATTTATGTTTGTGTTTTGTCAGTGAAATGAATTTCAACGTCAATTTTTCGATGTTCAATTTTTTTCTCGTAATACCCGAGGAAATCATATCGTAAAATAAACGTAAGGAATTTGAAGTAAATTGACTTTCTGTCGTGATGTGTGCAGATAAGTGTGTACTTTTATTATTGCACAAATATATTTGTATTAATTAAACGGACATTAATATTTATTTGTAGTGCTTTTAGATCAAAGAAAATCTTAATATTGTATAATATTTTAAGAATACCTTTTACGATTATTCTACAGCAATGGTAAAAAGAAAAAAGAAGGACTGTTAGCTTATGTCGCCTGTTCTACAGATTTTTTAAGACCTTTGGTTAGTATACGCCGGGGACGTTCCTGAGATGTTTCTTTCATTCGCATATAGAGAAAGATACACGCTCGCGAGAGTATGCAGAGTATAAGCCAGGATTAAAATTCTGCGCATGATTCTTTCATTTTTTCCGGTATACCTGAAGGGCACACAAGGGATTTTACACAGAGCTTGCATATCAAGCGATTTTTATGATACACGTTTCTATAACTGTAAAAATTTATCTTTTTTTTCCCCCCCTTTCTTTTATTTTTTTTTTTTTGGGAGGGGGGCTTTTTTTCTTCGCGTCGAGAAAAAAGATTTTAATGTTTTCTTTACAAATTCGGGATATTTGCTTTTACAAAAGATCATTGTTTTCTTTATCAGTCGCTTATATTTTAATTATGATCGGAAACGTTCAACTGTTTCTGTTCCCACAGATTATAATTACAAATTTGATGAAAACTTTGTATTGATATTTCAAAAAATGCAAAACCTTTAATACTGAAATTATAAATGCGATCCAATCTTAGTTTAATTACGATCGAATATTCAGGTGTTTTTTTCTACGACAGGTCATTAATCGATAGTTTAGGAGCTTTAACGATGTACGTTGTTGTTTTCTCGGGATAATATAACTTCATTATAGATCATAGAATTTTATGATCAATATTTTACTACGACCATTCTTACGACTATCTGTTTTATCTGTAAGAATCCAGATCGTATAAAAAATAGTATTATCTGAAATATATTTAATACGAATTTATTAATAAAAAAAAGTAGAAAAAAAAGTCTAATTTAATTTATCTTTATTTTTTTTCGTAATGAAAAAAAGTCATTTGGAAGTAAACAATAAAGAAAAGAGGATATTAGGAAGATGATATTTTGAGTTATTGAAACTGTAAACACTTTTAGGCAGTTTGGACAGTTAAACAGTTTATTCAGATCGAAATTTTATGTAATATATATACATACGAGTTAGTTGACGATATGATGGAGTTTCGATATGAATTCACTTATACAGTGAACATAAAACATGGTTCTGTTCGTCGATTTACATGGACTTGATATTTTATTCTTTTTCTTATTTTCTTCTCACAAGTATTGAATTATGTACAATTACTATTCCCTATTATTTTCAATTATTCAACGATTTTTTCGCTGTTTTTTCTTTTTGGATTTGATCTCATTTGGAAAGCATTTTTAGACCAGGAAAAAGGTTGACGCCACGGTGAAAGAGTTTTATAGCCTTAAAATTGCAAGTATTTTAGAACCTCTATATTTTAGTATCGCAGTGATAATTCTAGGAATATATGAAATCCCCCAATATTGTTTGCGAAAATTGTCCTCATGTTGTGTAGCAAAGGGTACTTTAATTATTTATAATAAATCTCCTCGTAGATTCTGACTGAATAAAATCTTTTTTTTTTTTTTTTCATATGCATGGGCGCCGATCGACGAGAGTCAGATATGTATAGTCAAATGTTTCTTTATAATGATATGAATCGGATAATCGTTTAAAAGACGTTGATAATTTTTGTTTTTGTTCGACTAATATCATCCGAGTTTTATTGTCCACTCCGAAATTAAATTAATTTTGTGACCGTAGAGTATGCCTTGAACGAGGCCAAAATTTACCTAATGGAAAAGTGATTCGTAGTTTTGGTATCGCCAAACTTTACAGTCGCAAGGTGGATAGTCGTACGTATAGTAAATATATACGTTGTTTATAATTCTCTCTCTCTCTCTGTCTTTAGGAAATTATTGGCCAACTACTTATTTGTTAAGAACTTGCTTAAATTATAGCCGATGCTTATGGAGGTACAACGACGTTCGACACTTCATCACTTTCGAACTTAAATTTACAGTATGTAAATCGATTTAACGGTAATATATACAGCGACACAACATCAGCTAACGAGTAACGATCATACGATTTTTTTTACTTTTCTTTTTTTATACATAGAAACAGACACTCGAAATTCCGTTCGAACGCATTTATTTATCATTTATTCTCGTTGTTATCGTTCACACGAGAAATTGATCGATTTTATTCTCTATTTCTTTCTATATCATTTTCTCTCTCTCTCTCTCTCTCTCTCTTTTATCTCTTTCTCTACTTTCTCTCTCACTCTCTTTCAATCTTTTGAGAAATTATTTTTATACATTAAGATTTATAATCACTTTGAGCGAGAGTCTTAGACAGATTAAATTCATGTCACTTCGTTCGCCTAGGATTATATTTCGTCACATTTTCATCCACTTGCTGCCTGCCAAGCCTTCGTCCGATCGTTCCAAGGTTCCGTCGCAAAATATCACGTGGAAGCCCGATGTTTGTGACCTTATAAATTGAATTTTTCACACGAGGATAAATGCCCTTCGAACCGTCTTCTTCTTCTTCTTCTTCTTCTTCTTCTTCTTCTACTACTACTTCTTATTCTTTTTCCTATATCTTATTTTTTTTTTTCAATTTTATTTCTGTTCTTCATTTATGCAAATATACATGTTAAATCTATATTTTCATATTGATTTTTGTGTTTTATTTTTTTTTATCAGTAAAATTAAGTCAAACAATGAAACAATTACAGGATGCAAAATGCACGAATTAATCATCAATGGTTTCGATGAAACCAAACGATGATGATTAAATTAGATTGGTTTTAATGATCGCCCTACCTATGTTTAATTTATTTTATATGTACACGAGGAATAATCAGATTATCCTTAAATTTTATCCAATTGTCATGCGTATGCAAGTAGATTATTTTCAAAATAACAAATCACAATATTCGAATTGCATTTTATGAGATAGGGATACGCATGTATATTCGTATATGTATGTGTATATGTGTGTGTGTATTTTTTTTTGGAATGAATGAATATTATCATTGATCGCAATACAAAACATTACAGTAGTAGAAAAAACGCACGCGCATCTAGAGTTTAGTTAGGTATACACCTATCATAGTTAGTAGCATGTGATCGAAATGCGTGTACATACCCTGCGCTTTACGTGTAAAGGTCACTCGACAATAGTAACGAAATTGTTTTTTTTCCTTTTTTTTTTTTTTTTTTAATATTAATAAGTAACATTATTTCGTCTGTACGCATTTACTTGTGTTCCGGTAAATGTCTTGTGTTTTCTTATTTTATTTGTTTTTTAATTATCGATCTATGGTATAATATGATATATGAGTTATCGTCTTTCTTTTTTTGGCTATTGAGTTATGCAGTTGAATTTCTTTTCTTTTTAAAGTCGATGGTATTTTCACACTTACATTAGAAACATTTACTTTTTACATTGATAAAAATACGAAGACCAACTTCTCGTGTCCAATCCGTCGAGCTTACTGGAAATAATTTTCGATGCTTTGGGAAGAGTACGTTACACCAATCTTACTCGTAAACTTTCTATCTCCCTCGGGTACATACTTTATTGTCGGATAGAGCGTTCTAACACCATTTGTTTCACTGCATTTTTCTGGTTATCTATTTTTCTTTTCCTTTTTTTTTTCTTTTTTTTTTTTAAGGGATATGAGAGATTTAGCTTTCCAAACAAATTTCTAACGATGCTGCGCGCGACCTATTTCCCACCCCCTCCTTCTTTTTTCACCGTGGAAGATATGTTTCATCGCGCATTTCAAATTATTTTCCTTCTTCTTCGTCTCTAATGCAATTTTTGTTAAATTTCCTCTCGTCGTATCGATCGATGCTATTTTTAATATAATTTTATTTTTTCACTTTTAATTAAACAATCGTTTCAATTAGCTGAGAAAAGGAATTTAATTTATTATCATAAAGGACACGAAATATTCGATCGTACGATAATTTGTTTCTTTTTTCCATATTTTGCTTTGTTGCATGCAACGAGAAACCTCAAAGTAAAAAACCAGAAAGGTAAACAATAATTTAATCAACAACAATAATAATAATGATAATAATAATAATAATAATAATAAAAATATTTTTTAATAATAATCAACTTTTCATAAATATTAATTTAGAACGTAAAAAATTCGAGCAAGGCTGATAAGAATTGAGGTTTATATATAGAAACTATATAAAAAGTAGAATTTCTTTTGATATCGCAAATTGATCAGTTAACTTTAAAATTGCCTTCTTCGTGCTTTTAAAAGCATGCGTCAGAATAGCATCAGGATATTCTTCGTTTCGTCCCTTTCCCTTTTTCTCTTTACTTTTTATTTTTTCTTCTCTTTTCTTTTTTTTACCCTATCTCTCGATTCATTTCGTTTTCTTTTCTTCCTTCGCTTTCTCATTCTCCTTTCCAACGTATATCTTAACGCGCTTCCTTCATCCATCTTCATTCGAGCCACCAGAAAAGGGGTCGTTCGAGAGCCTTTTATCTTTCCTCGCATTTCGTGGTCTGATACTTTCAGGCCTCGACGACGTGATTGGTAGGCTTACACATAGTTACATTTACGTCTTTTGCCTTCCAAGGTAGGATGGGTTGATAATAATAATAATAATAATAATAATAATAATAATAATAATAATAATAATAATAATAATAATAATAATAATAATAATAATAATAATATTAATAATAATAATAAAATAATAATAATAAAAAAAGAAAAAGATTATATGTGAACGCTTTTTTTTTAGCAATAAGAAAAATAACGTATGGAAATATTTGTCATGATCTTTCCTTAAATCAAAATAATTATTATTGAACGTAAGAATATTTGTTAAGTGTAATTACTTATCTTCGGATAGATATTAAAAACGTTGCTATATTGAAGATCATCGGTTCACAAAGTTGGTAGTTGAAAGAAGAAAGGAAGAGAATGAGAACTAGACAAAGAGTAGGAGGTAAAAGATAAAGAGAAGCGGAAAGATAGAAACGGAGAAAAGTTACATCGAGGAGAGAAAACAGAAGGAAGGAAGGAAGTTCTCAGCGTCTTTTTGAAGATAGTAAGAGGAGGACGTTCGCAGAAACTCTGGAAGAAAGTTTTAGCAAGCTTGCGACTCCCTTTCCATTCAATGTCTTTCTTCTTTTCTGTAAGAGATATCTTTGGCTATAGAGAGAAGGTATTTTGAAAACAATAGGGGCGGATCGTATCTTTTTCTTTTCCATCGCAGTTGTTTTAGCGATATACGAACAAATAGTATTTTTTGTTCTTTCACTTTCTCTCTTATTCTCCCTTTCTCTCTTTTTTTCTTTCTTTCTAATTTCATTGTTGGCTCTTTTCGCGACATTCCCCGTTGTCTTTTGGCCTAGACACAGCTCTCAGGAAGCCTATTGGCCATGAGTCGACGTTTGATCGCTTCACCGTCGAGACATTCGCCAGCCACTACTACTCCTTGACCTCCACCTACGACGATACCTTGCGTGTTGATACCGGTAATACCCCCACCACCAACTACAACGCCACCTTGACCGGTACCAACAATCACTCCAACTCCCGTAATTGGCATATTCTGTAACACCGGTATCGTACTTCTCGAGGGTAACCTCAGTTCCGTTGGTCTACCGCTAAATTTGTGACAAAGCTCGTCTATACTTGGGGTAGGTCCGGGTGTTACCCATTGTCCCGGGGGATACCCAGCTGGATAACTCGGTGGACTGACTTCAATGGGAATACCTTCTGAAACAGTAAACACGATACTTTTTTTTATACAACCGTTTAACACACGAATCACCAGTTAAATCGCTTTTCATGTCTCATATCGGATGATCGTACTACATAGTTATCTTTTATTTATTTTATTCATTTTTATCATCAGTTAAAATCTTGAAAAGCGATTTCAAATTTACACATTTATTCTTCCCTCGATGACAGAGAAATGCATTTCTAGAATGGCTGATCTATCGAACAACCTACCAAACTTATTTGGTATAACGTCAGGATCGGTCTCTACGGTCTGTTGGAGATTCTGCATTGGATATTGTTGTGCTGGTAGTTCACTAAGTTCGGCCGGCTTTTCGTGTCGCGGTTTCGAGATGTATTCCCTTCGCACTCGTACGACGACCGCTGAAATGATTACACTGATGGTAACCAAAGCGCCAACAATCACTCCAATTACCGGCGACAGAACGATTCCCGCGTCTTGTCCTGAAGCAAATAAACGGAAGATATTTCTATATTTTTAATCTGAATTTCATAATTATCTATTATACAAATATTTTTTGGAAACACTTTCGATTATTAATTTATCGATTATAAATTATTTTCAAAGTGTTTTGTAAATTGTTATTATACGATAAACATAATATTTTTTGTTTCTAACGTGTTCATACATATTTAAGTAGATATAATGTATTATCATGTAAGATTATTTTTAAACTATGTTGCTATCAGGGATATTCGTGATTCTTTCAAAAATTATTTATCATAGGAGCACATAGGAGAAAAAAATAATAGATTCGTAAGTATTCTGCTCGACCATATACCTCGAACGTATACTGCGTGCTTGTACTCGAAGTAATGCTCGGTCGAGCTTTCGACGCAAAACAAGAACGTTACAACGAGCTCGAGGATTAACTACGCTCTGTCACCGTGGAAAAGAAAACGACTGTTTACCGCCCTTCCGTGGTTATTTACCGTGCTTCATTTTTTCTCCTCTTTCATGCAACTCCGAAACGACGACGACGACGACGACGACGACGACGATGATGATGATGACGATGACGAGGGAAGAGAGAGAAATAAGAGTTAAGCATACGTGCGTGTTGGACTAAACAGCTTGGCCAGAGCGAGAAGAGAAAACCCGTTTTATTCTTCGGCGTAAGGATTAAAACTACGTTTATTTTTTTCTGTGGTTTTCACAATGTTCATTTGTTTTTTGAACAATTTACATCTGTGTGAATACGTCCGCGCCCGCTCGCGTACGAACTAACCAAGAGATAGTACATGAGCATATACCGGGTTGTTTTTAAATTTGCGACTAAATTTGAAGAGAGATAAAGTAAAATAGATATGAATGAAAATAAGTAAAAGCAAAATTAACGTTGAGTATTTTATCCTTGAGAGAAGTTAAATTGATTATTATGTTTGCATTTTACTCGAAGTTATATTTGATATTTGCGAAAATTGTTTAAATGCTAAGATAGGCATTTTATTTCTTTTTCATTTTAAAGAAAAATTTATTAAATTATATATTTCAAGAAAATTTATTCACGCGAGATAATTCGTTATGAAATAAATTCCATTATTTAGGTACGTATAGATATAGTTAAAATAAACCTTTTTGTATTCACGTTCTGCCTCCTCTAGCAAGTTTATTTGCGATTGGCAGTAAAGAAGAAAGAAAATTGCGATTCTCCGAGATATATAACTCTTTGTAACGAAAATACGAAAGTTGGTTAAACGTTTGCTATTCTGATGCGTTACATTTATTCTTTCTTTCTATCTCTCACTCTCTCTCTCTCTCTCTTTCTTTTTCTTTCTTTTTCTTGCGCGGCACCAATCGTGAAACTTTAATGAGAAAGATTAATTTATATCTCTAGCCATTTACGTAGGAAGAGAGACAAACGTCCAAGAATCACCCCGTAGAACAAGGTCGAGAGTGAGTGAGAAAGAGAGCGAGCGATGATAAAAAGAAAGGAAAAGAGAAAGAAAGAGAAAGAGAGAGATCTTTCCACAGTTTGTTTTCCGTGCACGATTCGCTCTCTAACCGTTTCAACGTTCGCGCTTGTGCCTGCGCGCGTGTGTTAGCATACACGTGACGTTCCATTTGATAGCGCGTACCAAGCGTGGGACTGGGCCTGCTGCTTTTGTCGGATAATTAACAAAACTGTTTTCTTTCAGTACGAGCAGCCCAGCTGCGCTCACTGAGCTCTCTCTTTCTCTCTCTCTCTTTCTCTTTTTCTCTTTCTACGTGATGTATACGAAAGACCAGAGTAGAATCACCGTGAAAGTGGATACAATGTTGCGTGGTGTATTAAACTATCCCTTTTCCCTTCTTCCACTTTTCTCTCTATCCCTCCCTCTATTTTTTTCTTTTTTTTTCTCTCTCTTCCCTTTTGACTCCATTTTCAAAAAGTAACGTCACTCACTTCCTTCTTATTTTCTTTTTCAAGCAAAGCTAAACCGTCCAGCTTTTTAGTATCTGACTTTATACGTGCGAGCTTTTTATTGTCATCCATTCTTCTAATACGTTCTCTTTTTCTAAAAACGGATTTATCGTTTTCATTACTTACATTTCAAATATTAATTTTGTCTATTTCCTTTTAAGGTTTTCTTCATATCGGATTAAAAACAAAATATATTTGTACAGAGCTTTGATAGCTTCATTAACAACCCTTTTTTCGTAGTATCATTTGGTGTAAAAAAATAAAAAATAATAATATTGCTTAGGATGCATTAGCCTTTTACTCCTTCTCTTTGGAGCTTTAAGTGTTTTTATGGTTTTATCTTACAACGTTACTTGTTGGGAAGTGCATTAATGTAGAGTCTCTTAACTGATCGTTATTTTACAGGTTGTTCGCTTTTTTTTTTGCTACTTTATGTAGCTTATCGTTGATGAGTGGCTATCTAACATTATTCCGATAATGAATCGATAAATGGGGAGAGATGATGTTCGAGTAAAATGAAAATTTAAAAAAAGACAAAAAATTCTAACAAAATAATGGATCAGATATTTCGAGGTACGTAATTTCTTTTTCTCGTTGCAATTTTCGAACCGATGGTCAAAAGCTGAACTAATATTTTATCACGTCGAAAGATTAACAATGCGCGATAATATCCGATACCCCTGTAAAATTGCACTTAATGAATCATTCGTTAACGCGACGCGCAGGGAACAAAAGTAATCGTTCAACGTTATAACGATTTCTCTGTAAATATTTACAAACATCGACCGGTAGGTACTGTATACATACATAGAGAGTACATGGCGGTTTATCAAAAAGAGAAGTGCACGCCTGTGGTCGGAGATATGTATGCTTTAATCGAATTTGTTCGTAATACAATTAGTAAGTTTGCAAGGACAAAATGGATATGGACAAAATTTGGGTAATGTTTACTTGATTGTTTGATGTTATTAACTTGCATGAATTTTTTCCTAAAAAAATGTTAACAATTGTACTCTTTTGATAAAACAAAACTATAAAACTATGTGGTAGGTACAGTAACAGTACTTTCCTGTTAGATTTCTAAGTAATTTAAAAAAACAAGGGTACGAACTCGTTAAATGTAAACGTGTGCTTCACAAAATGTAAGAGATGTAAGAATAGAATGGAAAGAAAAAGAAGAAGAGAGTTAACATTTGTAAAAGATGAGTTTAATCAGTTGAAAAAGGGGTGATGCATAATGCACAACCCATTCAACGTCACGTGTCATGTTATACCAAATATATTTGTAGCCATTTTGTCGTAGGGTATAAACCGGACCGTAAATGAAGATTCTAGGGATTCAAAGAAGCGCAAGAGGCACGTTGAGGAGACGTGCAAGTGCATATAAGCGACGGAAATTCATCGACTCTCGTGGCATCCAAGGAGAGTGCTATACAATCGACGCGTGCACCTTCCCCAACGGAGAACTTTACGAAACGGAGATAAATGAGATTTCGAAGTGAGTCGTAGACAAGCTCGAAAGATTTACATGAATGACATTCTCTCTATCTTTTCCTTCTATTCTCGATCTTTTCTTCTTATCAAGTGCTTCAACCATCGTTACCGTTCTCGTGTAAGAAGAAATATGCACCGTTTCTGAGGCAGTTTCATTTTTATTCAAAATGATACGTGCAATGTATGTCGCTGGTTAAAGTAACAATAAGTATTCCTCATTATTTATTTCTTTTAAAGGGGCCAAATAACAATTGGATGAACTCATTTAGACTTGAAATGAATTTAATCAGAATTTTATGTATAATTTTAGTTAGAAATATAATTAAAAACGTATGAAAATGAACAAAAGAATGCAGATAAAAGAAATTCATGCAATAAGAATTATCTTTCTCATATTTAACATAGTTGACTTATGCATATTTTATAGTCTCGAGAATACTTTAGTAATTTTTTTTTAATTAACTGTTAAGTTTAAACGAGTTAAAATAATTTTTCATTTGATTATTATATTCCAGTAGTTCGGCGCATTCTCGAAAAGGGCTTTCATGGCGGATAACAGGTAGGACTCACCATCGTTTACTCTCCTAAGCTTCCAACAGTGTCTCGTAAAAGTTGCAATGGAAGTTTAATCGAGTTCCACACGAAGAAACGTCTGCCGAGCAGGGTAGTAAAGATAAACCGGATCTTACTGGCGATCCTTCGAGAAAGGACTAAGAGAATCCTCGAGGAAAGAGAAGAGAGAAGAAGAGAGAAGAGGGAAAGAGAAGAGATCGCATATCCCAGTGGAGTCTCGAATCCCAAGTTCATCGAAGTTTAGATCACTAATCGAGCTTGCCGTAGGGTCAGAGCAGGCTCTGTGTCCGCTTCCGGTGCGAGTATTTGAGAAAAATTCCTTTAGGACGAACGAATAGTCCAACAAGAGCTCTTTCGAATCATGAAAAAGCTATGGGGTAGAAAGTCGTTGAACTTTTTTTTCCACATTTCGAAGAGAGTGGATTCGAGCTAGTAGGTGATCCAAAATACGAGTGACCAACTTTATTCTATATATCAATTTTTTGTTCTGAAAGTGTGTCACGATTTAACTACTAAAAATTTGCCATATAACACATTTAAACATGTGTTTTGTGTACAAATATGTGACAATGGGGGAGAGGATATTAAACCAACATGATATTTTATTAATATTCAATTATTAAAAAGCCACCAAAAAAATACAAATTAAATTCTTTTTTTTTTTTTATAATAAGTATAATCAGCGGGAAGTTTGCATCTACTTATCTCCAACCAAGCGTTTATAATTTGGTGTATATCCAGACAGAGATAATGAATTTTTAGTATGGAAATCAGTAAATAGGGAATGTTATTTAGTTTTGATGAATTTTAAATATGAAAAAATCGACTCACATAAATATGTAAATTTAAAACAAGAGTAGACATACTCGCTACATTTGGTGATATTGGGATGTTTTTTTTTTTTATTGACGTATTTTTACTAATCTTCTTTGAGTTTTCTGGATTGTAAGATTAAATCAATTTTGCAATATT